AAAAAAAAAAAAAAAAAACTAGAAGAAGAGTAACGACAAGGCATCAAAATAAAACAAGCCACTAAAGGAATTAAAACAAAAAAATTCAACAAAATAACATAACAAAAGAACCGCGACGGCTAACAGGTCCCACAAAATATAAAAAATTCATACTAACTAAGAAAAGGCCACACACGATTAGGATAACCTTACAAAGCACCAAGTGAAAACGTGAAGATTTCTCACCTAATACGCTGAGCATCAAAAGCAAGAAGTTTTTATCAAGTGTCGCAAAAACAAACAGGTTCGGAAAAATACAAGAAACGAATAAACCGACGATATACCGATGGAGCAACGTCCCAAATAAGGCAATAATACCGCAATATCATAACCGCAGCACAAGACTGTCGAAGCCAGAATGAAAGGCAAGCACCGACAACAAATCAAAACAGGGTCGCCAACCTATAGTGCAACAAAGCTTTCAAGCAAACAGGGTTGCCAACCTATAGTGCAACAAACCTTCTGAGTCCACTTATGCCAGGTGGCACGCACAAGAAACACCGATGAAAAATCAATACAGAGTCGCCATAGAGGTCCAGGTTTCATCCGACATGAAGTGGAAACGCCAGCAACAGAGCAAGCAACAGGGTCGCCAACCTATGGGCCCACACACGATTCCACCCCGATTCCAAAAACTCAATGTGCAACTTTTGAAAGTGAAAACCTGAAGGTAGAGCGAAGCGCAACGAAGCTTCGTATCCCGTCCAGCAACCGTCACTGCATCGTGTTGAAGCTACACTGTCCCACTCACAGCGTTTTGGACCCAAGCAAAATCTGACACTCTGGCCACGAGGTAGAGACACCCTCAATGAGAGGACACTCACACTAGCACTTCCAAGAATGTTTAAAACAACATTTGACATATAAAGCTTTGTTTCATTTACTCCCTCCCCTTCGTTTGTGAGTTTCACGGTCGCGACTTTTCTTCTTTTTGGAGGAGAAGGGCAAAGACGAGGAAAGGCAACGGGAGACAACTCCGCTGGTTCATAGGCACATGAGCTCAGTGAAACAGTCTGGTTGCAATCCATCGACAAAGAGGCCTGGTCATCTCACCCTGGATGATGGACAACCACAACACCTGAACTACCAATTGCGCCAGGGCATGTTATCATATGAAGATTCGGTTCGAGATCTCCAACCCCTGCAGGAACCACGACACTCGGTCCGCAAGGTAGCCTTAGTTAGCCAAAGTGTCCACTGTCGAACCAAGGCACTCGGCTCGAAAGGGCCGCAATGGGCCGTTAGTAGAGTGTCTGCAGGACCCAGACCTGGTTCTGTGGGCCATGTTAGTCCCAAACGTAGTTAGTTGACAAATAATTAACTAGCTGTATTGTGTGGCCTATTGGGCCGCTTGGGATAGATAGTTTGCCTAAGACACTACTTCGAATGAATATGAAAGCATCTCAACTTCAACTCAGGTAAGGTCTGGTAGTTAGGAATTTATAACTCATTAAATGTGAGTTTTGCAGGCAATTGCCTGTAAGCTAACCTAACTGATGTTGTCAGTACTTGGGGGCCAAGTCCCACTTACCCGAATTCTCAACTTTTGACCGTAAATTCGTAAGATCGACAACCAGAAATCAAGAATCAATGTACGTGGGATTTGGCCCCAGGTTGAATTGTGAAGTCCCCGACCACGCCTGGATTTATATGGAACTAAGTGTCTTGTTGTTAAAAAATAAGGGATAGTTTATTAATTTGCGAAACAGCCCTCTAAGTTGAGATATATGCCAAAATGATTCTAAAAGATGTGGGTAGAACTAAATACCCCTCTGATGCAAAAAATCTTTTGCAAAATGCCCCTGGCGTCGGTTGGACCCCCCATCTTTGCAAACTACCCCTACCGGGTACTGTCCATCTTTGCAAAATATCTCGGTACTTGCCAGCTTTTCCCAGGCCCTATTTTATTTTCGTTTTACCCCTGTCAGCTCGGGTCATCTTTGCATTTGCCCCCTGGCCGTTTGAGGCCGACAACGGCCTTTTCCAGGCCCTTGAAGAGAAAGCACCACCATTATGGCTGTTATCTTTTGAATCAACTTTTGTCCAGATACACCCATACTGGACGTGTGTTCTATTGGGGGGGGGGGCTATCGTTTTAGCAGTTGTGTTGTGTGTGTGTGTGTGTGTGTGTGTGTGTGTGTGTGTGNGAGAGAGAGAGAGAGAGAGAGAGAGAGAGAGAGAGAGAGAGAGAGAGAGAGAGAGAGAGAGAGAGAGAGAGAGAGAGAGAGAGGATGTTGGAGAGGGCAAAGGAGAAGAAATGGAGGAATGGCGGGAGGAGTTGGAGATGGGCAAGCTTACCAGGGCGAAGCTGCCGAGCCTGAGGCACGGGCAGAGACTTCGAACGACTCAGAAAGTAAGAGGCAAACCGCCTATGAGCTTATTGCGCAAAGTTGCCCACTCGGTATTGAGGGCAAACCAGGTAAAACAGGGTGCAGGCCCAGGTCCCAGCGACGACGTTCAGATTGCAAATTTGCACACAGGCCTGCCAGGGGCAAAACACAAAGAATTAGGCCCAAAAGAGCATTCTGCTCTAAGCACGTCCTTTGGGGGCATTTGGCATATATCTCAATTTATAGGGGTATTTTGCAAATTTCTCAAAAAAATAAAAAATAAAATGGAATGGGACCCAGGCTGGGCAAAACTTGAGCAGTGAAATTTAGGCTTGGCAAATACAGCCTCGGAGGTACTGGCGGTTTAAAAGGGAAAATTTTTCATATGCCGCTGAATGTTTCATTTATTTGCGGCGTGCCCCTCGGACGGCCGACTTGACTTGTCATGCCCCTGGGGCCTCTGATCTTTCCTGCAGGTCCCTGTCAGCGAGGGGCGCAACTTTTCAGCATGCCCCTGTGGCCGTTGGTGGCTCTCACGGCCGTTCCCCTGGCCCTGGGAGGGGATCTACCGGGGCATACTGGAAATTTGGAGCCAGTACCGGCAGGGGCATATTGAACATATTTCAGGCCCAAACAACGCCAGGGTTTTTTGGGAAACTTCAATCGTTTTCCGAGGGGCGCGGCAGGGTAAGTCGGCCGGCCGTCAGAGGGGCACGCCGCAATTAAATGGACCTTTCAGGGGCATTTCGAAAACTTTTACGGTTTAAAAACATAAAAAAATACACTGAGGCTAAACCTCCGGCACGCCCAGCCACACTCCATGGCGGCAAAACGAAAAAACACTGACCGTAAACCTCTGGCCCGCCCAACCACAACCCGTGGCAACCCATGGCGCCCAGGGAGGCATACACGATTCTTCTACTGCCGCGCGATTCGCCGTTTAGCCAGGACGTGCCTCGCTGGTAGTGGTCTTGGTGGGGGTGCCGCCGCTTGGTGGTGGTGCCACGTGGCTAAGCGGACAGCTGGCAACGTGCAAGGATATTTCAAGTTGATGGACGGCAATCTTCTCGATCTTGACGAAGAGTGCAAGTGTCGTGACGGCACGAGGAGAGTGGGAGAGGGGATCGAGAACAGGCGGGACTCGCGGGAGCGGAACGGAATGGCGGGAGCTGGCAGGGTCGGGAGTTGGCGGGAGGGCAGGAAAAAATGTGTGTACGAGTGGCGCGGGATAGTGTGACCGAGTGCGGGGCCGACGTTGAGTTTGGACCGTTGAAAAGAGTTAAAACTTAAAAGGGGAAAATTCGTGCAAATTGAAATTCAATTCTCGTCGGCAGCGCGGGCCCAATCTCCCGCCTATGAACGGGAGCGCTGCGAAGTCGTCAGTCACCGGGGCGGAAGTAGATGGCGAGAGTATATTTTTATATGTGACATTTAATTTTTACAAGTTGGTGGAGCATTGAAAAGAAGCAAAGGTTTGTAAAAAAAAAAAAAAAAAAAAAAGAAGCAAAGGACCATTTTGTCTGAGCTGACTGGGAGGAGTTAGTCTTGGCAACCCCTGAATACCTGCTGAAAGATAAACTCTGGCAAAGAGATTGGATTGAAAACCTGAATGTGGACGTGTTTGTGGAGACGTGGAGATCATTACGATTGCTCTGCCTTTCTGTATCTCTACGTAAAACGCGTCCAGATTCGGGCGCTTAGTCCAATCTTCTTGGCTAGCGGGATCTCGTCCTTAGGGGAAGATAGACTCTTAGGAAAAGATAGACTACGATAGACTAGGAAAAGGTAGACTTTCTTAAGATAGCCATCTTACGAAACATAGGGCCTCGCTCCACTCTTCCAAATTTCGTGCTTGAAGTAGGTCTCATGCTTTTAGTCGGGTTGTCCGAGTAAAAGGATGAACGAGAGACTGAACAAGAGAAGAGAGGAGAGGAGAGGAAAGGAGAGGAGAGAAGAGGAGGGAAGAGGAGGGAAGAGGAGAGGAGAGGAGAGGAGAGGTTCTCGCAATTGTGTGAGTCCGATTCTCCGAGTTAAGGGGACAGGATAGGGAAGAGAAGAGACCCGACGATCTGTAGAGGTTTTGAGTTCGTCTCGCTGCTGAGGATCTGTAATCTAGTGAATCGTTTGGTTCCGTTATCTGTAGTTTGAGTCAATCTGGCTGCTCGTTGTCTGTGGCTCAGCGCACCGTTTTCTTCCGTTAGCTGCACATGTGAAAATGGAAGCCGTTACGAGCGGAATGCGATCCGCTGCGGGGTCATTGAGTATCCCTGTACAGGCGCCATCGTGTTGTGTGTGTCAGTATGTCCTATCCACGAATCGAACACACAGCCTACAGTTTGCCAGACCGGATAGCCATCAGAAACGCGGCCATGGAGTTTGTCGGCAACACCGGAGAGCATCCTCTGCTTTATCTTCCTCTTCCTCCTCCTCCGTCTGCTTCTCCTCTTCCTCTTCCTTTTCATTCCACGTTCCATCGCAATCTCGCCCTCTCAGTTCGTGTTCCCGCCACATTGCTCCCAATTCAAGCCGCGTAATCGGTCCCAATTCCAGCCACGGGATCGGGTTGCCAAGAGGGGGACAGCGGGCCCACCTCTTCGCAAATTGGGGGAAAGGGACGTCGGTCTCTCCGGGCTCGTCGTCTGGACCATGGTCGCGATCCTCGTCCACTGGCCTCAGCTCGGCGCGCAATCTGCTGTCTCAGACTTCCGGCTGCAGCCACTGCGGTTTCTCGATTCTGCAGCGCGCCGATGGCAATCGGCGCAGACGCGCCGGCGGCGGCAATGGTCGTAGAGAGGAGAGAAAACCAAGCATCGCATGGACGATTACCAAGAGGTTTGAGCAGAAGGTAGCTGGATGAGAACTTCACTCAAATGATTGGGTTTGCTCCTCTTCCTCCTTTTTGTGTTATTTTTGGGGAAAACTACCGTAGTAGGGCGCTGTCACGGTTTCAGTTTGAAAAATGCGTTTCAGTGACTTCAGTCACGATGTCACGAATGTTGTTGTGTCAAACCGTATAAAACCCAGCTTTAGGGTCGGGTGGGGATGTGTTGTATTCGAGGCATATATGCCTGAACTGGGTTTAAAACCGAAATCGTGACTGCACCCTGTAGTAACTCTTCTTCTCTTTTACCAGACTTGCCTCCTGTTCGAAACCGAGGAAGTTTCCCATTTTTTATTTTTATTTTTATTTTATTTTAATTTTAATTTTAATTTTAATTTTAATTTTATTTAGTTTCCCAGTTATTACCCTTAATATGGTCCCTGCTTGAATTTCGTCATTTCGACCCGTCGATATGTGGAGATCGACGGCCAGAGGCCCATCCTCCGTCTTCGTTTTTTTCCCCTTTTTTTTATCTTTTTTTCTTTTTTCCCTCGGATGAAATAAATAACGTCAGCGAACAATCCCAGATTGCGACGTAAATTTCGACGATTTTCGTGTCATTTTTATGCAGAGAAATAGGAGAGGAGAGAGGACTACCGTACTGGCAGGAGACGAGCTGACGAAAGGGAAATCATTCATGCAGAGGAATTGTCACTGAATTGTCGCTGAACTGACACGGAATTGTCGCTGAACTGTCACTGAATTGTCGCTGAACTGTCACGGAATTGTTACCGAATTGTTACTGAATTGTTACTGAATTGTTACTGAATTGCTTATGAGTTTGTTGATTGAATTTGTTAATGAAATTGTTATTGAAGGTGTCATTTCATTGATGTGTTGAATTACAGTAATAGTGGCCTTGGGTAGGGACATGCATGAACATTGGAACGAGGCAGAGAAAAATTTTGCATTAAAAAGCAAAAAAAAATCATATGTAAATATGACGTGGAAAACCGGAGGGTTTTCCTCGATTTGGTCCTGTTATTCTTGTGCAAGGGGCATGATAATCTCTCTCTGTCTCTATCCTTGGAATTTGAAAAAATAAAAATTTGAAAAAATAAAAATAAAAATGATCTCTGTATCCTTGGAATTTGCATGCATGTACCGAAAGACAGGAGCCGGGAGTTTATGACTGCGTTATTTACGTGTTGCTATTTTTTTTAACAGCGCGCTGGAATTGAACCCCAGCGCGCCGAGCCTATCGCTACTACCGGTAGTAGGGAGCATCGTCTTTGGGCAACCAACCCCCCCTGCTCTCAGAACGTTATTGGACGGACGCTCAGCTCAGCTTATTGGCCAACCAACCCCAATGCATGCTTTTATTTAAAAAAAGAAGAAGAAGAAAAAAAAAGAAAAGGGTGCGTTAGTTCCCGCGCACTCAATTGATGAAAGAGTTGCCCGATAACGATTCACGATTTACGGATCACGATTATTATTAAAAAAAAGGAAAAAAACAAACTAAGGTGTCTGCAGTCCGAGCTGGTGAAACTTTGGCCGCCGCCCCACGTCTGTTTGATTTTTTCGGTTTTTTTTTTTCTTAATCTCCCCCCCGTCCCGTCCTCCTATTTCCTCCCCTCTCCTTGATTTTTTTTTTCCACGTGGAGCATCCACTACACGGTGTGATGACGCCGAGCTTACGTCTGCGACAGCCGTACGGGGTTTGCAGCCGCTTGGCTGTACTATGTAGATGGTAGTTTGGACGAGGACAGAAACAGCCCGTTTCCGTGTGAAAAGTCGAAACGGGTCCAGTAAAAATGCACCCGGGCGTCTCTGCGTCCAGGTGCAGATCATGCACTTGGGCGACTGCACATCCCGGTGATTTCTGACCAGGCTACGTAGTTTTGGTATTTCCAAAAAGGCCAGGTTGTTCATGTGCCTTCGTTTTTCACCTTTTTGAATCCCATGCAATAATGATTGTCCCATCTTGAATCTTGATCGACTGCCATCTGAGATTCAGCCTACTACCCCGCGTTCCCCCCTCCGGTCTCTCTCTCTCTCTCTCTCTCTCTCTCTCTCTCTCTCTCTCGCTCTCGCTCTCTCTCTCTCTCTCTCTCTCTCGCTCGCTCGCTCGCTCGCTCGCTCTCTCTGTGTGCCTATAACTGTGCCTATCTCTCTGACAGTGTGTTTCCGTATATCTCTCTGTTTGTCTATATGTAGCCTTGTCCTTGTCTATAATGTCTCTTTCCCTTCTTTACTCTCTCTCTCTCTCTCTCTCTCTCTCTCTCTCTCTCTCTCTCTCTCTCTCTCTCTCTCTCTCCCCTTCCACCCGGATATATAAGTCCCTGTCTTGCACTCACGGTTTTTTTTTGGGTGCGATTTTGTGCTGTGTGCAATCTGATTTGCAACAGGCGATGGTGTATTCGTCGTCCGGATCGCGATCTTCCCTTATTGCCATGCGTGGGGTTTTCCACAGCTTCCCATCCCTTACGCTAATCACGGTGCGATCACAGAGCTCATCTGCCTCTGTCTCCTCCTCCTCCTCTTCCTCTCGCTCAGGATCGTTGTCGAGAGTCTCTCGATTTCCGTTGACGTCATGGGCGCCTGTCAAAGTTGCTCGCGGCTCTTTCCTATCCAAGGTAGCGGAAACGAGGTCGCCAGCTGGAAGCTCTGTCGACGAGGAAGAAGAAGACGTGGGTCTTGAGAAAGACGTGGGTATTGAGAAAAACGTGGGTGCCAACGTGGACGATAGCGGTGCAGGGATCGAGTCCGAATCCGAGTCCGGTGCGCGAAATGAATTCAATTTGCCGTTCTTATTTTCCATGTCAGGAATTTCTTCCGACTCTGACAGTCTTCAACTCTATGATCCGCTTGAAGGCATCCAATATGACGGGGACATGTATTCGGCGTCCGCGTGGAGGAGGAGGTCGAGGAATGAACCTGGTCCAGATCCGGCAACTGCAATGAACAGGACGCTGCGTGCAACGGCGCCATTGCTAGTGTTCGTTCCTGGATTAGATGGGACTGGCAAATTCTTCCGATCTCAAGTCCGATCGTTTCACGCGCAAGGGTGAGTTGTTCAGAACTCGTTTTTTTTTGTTTTTTTTTTTTCCTTGTATTTATTGAATTGCTTTTTTTTTTTTTTTGTTTGTTTTGGGAATAAGCACTGAATTTTTATGCAGTGCGCTAGGCTACCAGCCGGGCGGCCTGGCCGTGCAATGACCAGGGAAAGTCCCAGCCAAAAAAAAAAAAAAATCCAAAAAATCCGAGAAAAAGCTATGTTATGCAGAAAAATAAACTGAACAACTTTTGGCTAAGGGTCACATCGAAATTCTTTACAAAATTTAAAACAAAAATTTAAAATAAAATTTTAAAATAAAATTTTAAATTATTAAGAACTTATTTTCATTTTTTTATTTTTTTATATCTTTTTGGCCCGGCCGGGCAAGTGGACCGGGGCCACTCTGGTAGCCTAGGTAGTGTGCATATTTAAAAAAATAAATAGGGGTCACTGTGTTGATATAAATAGGGGTCAGTACATGTTATGCCGAATGCACACCTGTGGACGCCTTCTGCGGTCAAAGGTTTCAACTTTTTTTTTTTGTTGTTTTTTTGGTTCACTCTCTTTCGTTTTGTTGTGATTTGAACCTCTCCTTTTTTTTTTTTCCTCTTTTTTTTTTTTCCTCTTTTTTTTTTTTGAGATCTGATCAGGGCAGTCTGGTGTCCAGGCTTTGTATTCCCCTCCTTTTTGAAATAACATACTTGAAGCGTTTTCTCTCTCCTTTCTCTTCCCCACCTACCGCCCTTCCCCCCGCTTCCCCCCCCTTTCCCCCCCTTCCCCCTCCTCCCTTCCCCTTTTCCCCTTGGTAGGTGGATATATCGAATGCATTCTTCATTTGAAAGTTCGGTCCTATGTGGACCATTACACCCTTCTGAAACTTCAAACTTCAAACTTCAGACTTCATACTTCAAACTTCAAACTTCAAACTTCAAACTTCAAATTCAAGCTTCAGAATTCACACTTCGAGCTTCAGAATTCAGACTTCAAAGATCGTAATTCAGACTTCAGACTTCAAACTTCAGACTTCAAACTTCAGACTTCAAACATCAAACATCAAACATCAAACATCAAAGTTCGAACTTGGAATATGAAAGACATCGAAACGTGAACATTAAACTTGGATTCCAAAAAGGATTCCCAGCGACAGTCCTGTTGGAAGCGTTTAAATTAATGTTTGATCAACTTATTGATGCATGAATTTTTCTAATTTTGTAAGTCTGAAATTTGAAGTCCGAAATTTGAAGTCCGAAATTTGAAGTCTGAAATTTGAAGCCTGAAATTTAAAGTCTGAAATTTGAAGTCTGAAATTTGAAGTCTGAAATTTGAAGTCTGAAATTTTGAAGTCTGAAATTTGAAGTCGGAACTCCGTGGTAATGCTTGTAAAAACGGCCATAGGGAAATGGTACAGGATGCGTAGTACAAGCGGTACAGCTGAATAGGCGTTCCCTACCGGTAGCCTGGAAACTACTGGTCTTGCGGTGAATAGAACGTGCGGTCATTAGAGCTGTATGTGGGGCAACATGCCGTCTAGTAGATAAGAGGTATAATGACCGTACGTTCTACTCGGGGGAAGACGCGTAGGTAGGATATTCCATTCTCAGTCGGCGCCTGAAAAAAAGGTTGTTCCCCTGCTCGGCCACCCTGCCCCCTCTTCTCCCCAAACAAATCTCCCTCAATAAGTGCTAAAGTTGATTGTCTGTTTTTTTTGGTTGAAGTCGATTGCCCTTTCATTTTGACTGTTTTTCATTTCATTTTATGTCGACGGGTTGCAACGACATGAATTTATAATTTGTGGCCTTGAAAGCAGCCCTGGCTGAACTGGCTGAAAGGAAGGCTTGGATCAAAATATGGTACCCAAAAAACCACCAAAAAAAAATAAAAATAAAAATAAAAATAAATTGAAATATGAACCGGAAAATCTAACATGTCTCGTTTTGCAGGTACGATCTTCGGTGCGTCTGCATTCGGACATTCCACCTAACAATCAGTCAAATCTACTCAATATACACTACTGTCTTCACCCCAATAGAACGCCCTAGTCTGACGGTTGCCCAAGTACAGCTATACTGGCCGGCCGGCGTTCTATTCGGGTGAAGACGCTAGAGTCTATTGTCGTTTTTTTTATTTAGACTGTCTGTTTTTCGATCCATTTACAATATGTTGAAAGGTTGCAACGACATGGATGTGTGCTTTGCGCCATTTGCGGCCTCTGAAAGCGACGCTGACTGAATGGAAGGCTTTGATTTTTGCAGGTACGATCTTCGGTGTGTCTACATTCCACCCAACAACCGGTTAAATTGGGATGGACTTGTTGAGCAGATGGTGTCTCAGTTGCGCAATTTGGCCATGAGTGACGGATCAGCAAGTGAAAATCGCGCACAAGAAGAGACGAAGGGAGAGGAGGAAGAAGCAGGAAGAGGAGGAGGAGGAGGAGAAGTCGGAAACAAGGAGGATTTGCAATGCCGCCATGTCACGCTAGTAGGGGAATCGTTTGGAGCATGTCTTTCCTTAAGAGTAGCACTCGCGTCTCCGAGTCTTGTATCTCGTCTTGTACTGGTGAGTACGATCTCGTACGATCTCGTCCACCTTTTTCTTTTTGTTTTTACTTCACAAAAAAAAGAATCAATCTCATGAAACCTTTTTTTTTTTTTTTTGTTCCGACTTTTTTCATTTAATATGAAACGGAAAAACAAAAGAAGGCGATACTTACATTTGTAGTCTCCCCCTGCTCCCCCTGCTCCCCCTGCTCCCCCTGCTCCCCCTGCTCCCCCTGCTCCCCTCCGTCCACCTCCACACTCACACGGAAGACAGTTTAAAACACACACACAGCGTTGGTGTGAGTAAAGTCGACCACTTTTCTTTCTTAGGGGTATGCGAGTCATCCTTGCGCAGGGGCCATGCTAATCTTCTCTGTAGCATTCCTTTTTTTTTTATCGTTCCAATTTTAACGGATGTGGGGAAGGATTTTCTCGGGGGTATGGTTAAGTCTGGGAGACATGGTGAGTCCTTATCCATCAGTCAGTCAAATGCATCCTGGGCAGACTGTCAGGCTCCAGATGAGATGAGATGATGAGGTAAAGGTCCAGCAGGTGCGGCTCCCCACCAATAGACTGGAGCAACCACGAAGCTCGCTAGSGGGGGGGTGCTCTTTTTTTTTTTTTGAGGGGTGGGGTGCTCTTATCACCTCCCCTAGCGGGGGGGACTGTTTTTTTTTTCCGAAAAAAAAGAAAAGAAAAAAAGAGATGAGATAAAGATCACAATGAATCGTCGAACTCAAGAACAAGTAAATCCAGTCAAAGAGCTGACAAGATTAACACTAGTAACAACAGGTTTTCATCATCGTCCAACCACTTCACCCAAAAAAAAAAAAAAAAAAGAAAGAAAAAGAAAGCATTTGTCGGGCTCCAACCTCCTGATGAGTCGGTCAAAGTCCGAGGGAAAGAGTCTGGCACAGTCGATGACATGCTGTTTTTTGTGGAGGTGTGTATAGCGTGTATGACAACAAACACAAAGAAAAGGAGAGGCACCCTGTGTATGAAAGGCAAGAAGAAAAGAAAGCCATGCATCATCTCCAAGCACAGTCCAGTTTGTTGAAACGGGCGTCTCTTCTTTTCTGTCCTTGTTCGTGTGGGAAACGATGAGCACTGATTTTTTTGTTTTGGATTCTCGTTTCTTTTTGACATTCTTACTGTTGTTAGATGGGATTAATTGGGGGGAAAAAAAAGATGGGATTAAAAAAAAAAAAAAAAAAGGGGTTTGATTGATTTTTTTTTTAAATTTTTTTTTTTTTTTAACAAAATTTATTTTTTTTTTTTTTTTTTAAAAAAAAAAATGAGGTTTTTTTAAAATTGGGAAAATTTTTCGGAAAAATTGGGGGGGGGGGGGAAGATGGGATTAATTTGAAAAAAAAAAAGATGGGATTAATTGGAATTCTTCAAGAAAAGTTAGCTTTGTCGGACCAAAGTTGCTGTTTTTTTTTTTTTTTTTTAATTATTATTGTTATTTTTTAAATAGGGAAACTGAGGTTCTCTCAGCTTGCTGTTGATTTGTTTGTCGCTGATTGCATGGAATATGGCGACAATTATCCGGAATGGGCACATCCAGATGAATCCAGGAACACAACTTGGGGCAAATAATTATCTGGCAGGTCTCCTTGCTGCTTCTGGGCTTTTGGGAAGAGTGCCCCATGCTGTTTATGCCATCGCTCAGGTAAGACTTTTTTTATGTATTATTATTATAATATTATTATTATTATTTGTGGTAAACCACCACTACTTGTAACAGGTAAACTTTTGGGAGGAATTGGTCAACGTCTACATTCTTCGGGGGCTGGGGGCTGGCTTGGCCCCCATGGGGCCAAATTTCATTTAGGTTTCTAGCCGTAACTCCAGCTTGTTTCTTTTTTCTTTTAGCAATCAACACTCAAATTTCATTACTCCCAGGGACAAGTCCCTCTAGCAGCACTGAGTTTCCTCCTCAGCGCCTGAATCTGGACATGTTTGTTGAGATGTGCAGAAAATCGCTTTGAGTTTTCTCGACTGCACTTGTCCACAAACACGTCCAGATCCGGGCGTTGAGGAAACTCAACGCTGCTAGTGGGACTTACCCCCGGAAGGTATCTGGAAGCATTCATCCAGCTTAGCTTACAGGCATAGCCTGCGCGGTACCTCTGGCTTCTTAGTTCGGTGGACGTTATGTTGTTCGCAACGACTCCGCGTCCTGGGGAACCCTTTCGACCGGTTCCTTTCTTTTTTTTTTTTCTTTTTTTTTTTGTAGAGGTGGGCTACTAGACAGATGACATTCACGCACAGTGATTGGCCATTCCCCTCTGAAGACCCACCCGCCCTTCCTCTCATCTTTTGCCCTGGCGCACCCTCCCCCTCCTCCCGTCCTGCCAGTTCCACTGATGACGGAAACCAGATTCCTGCCGTCCATTTAGTACGCAGGTGGGGGCTGGTCCCATCAGGCGTAGGTCTGCAGTCCATCGTGGTCAAGATTTCAACCTGTTGGGATGGGCCCCTGAGGGATTTGCCCGCCGCTGTTTGTCGCCATACGACGGGCGTGGTGCGCCGTGGTCCGCCATGGTTCCTCCCATGTGCGGTGGGTTCCGGGGATGGCGTAATGCCGGGATTGGTTTGCGCGTGGGTAGCGGTGGCACGCACCGATCACACACACACACACACACACACACACACACACACACACACACAC